TTCACAAAATATAGGAACTGAATTATCGTATCCATTATTAAAATTATTGTAGAAAGCTGGTTATAACTTATTATTACTGAAGAAACTTTAAGTATGTTTTAAAAAAAATTCTCTTAAGATAGCTCGTAAGAATCGTATTTATATAAAGTTTAACATACTTTGTACATGTGAAAACGAAAATAATTACACAACTTAAATGACGATGAATTTTGTTTTTATAATTTTGTACAATTCACTTTGTTATATGTACTTTGTACTACTGGTCATTCATATCATTTTAGGTAACACTCTAACTTTTATAATTCATAGATTTGTTTTCGAGAAAAAACATACTACGCATTTTGTTTTAGTACAAATAATTAATGTCACTATTTGCTGAAATTGGAATAAAAGGCTTATAAAACGTATCATAAGATACAAATATTTGTTTCTTAATAATTCTATTTATATGTTTATATTATTCTTATTGCTGCGTTTCTATTAGCGTAGTAAAATGATAATTAAAAATATAGTAAATTAAAAAAAAAAAAAAGTATATTCAAAAAAGGGTATATTTGAAAACTCGATAATAAATTAGCAAATTATACGAAATTCATACTAAATTAATAAATTTAAATGAAAATATAAAAAGAAAACAAAATAATAGAATGTTCTAGTGGTGTTTTATCACCATGCAGTATCTACTTTTTATTGGATATATTATTACTGTAGTGGATGTAAAACGTTCAAACCCAAACCGGAATTCGAGAGTAATCGTGACAATATTTCACAATTCAAAACTTGTAGTAATTGTCGCCAAAGACCAGCTAGTAAACGAAAAAAATGTGCAGAAATAAATGAAAGTTACAAAGACCAGCCTGAAATTATTGATATAGATTACTTGGATCATATTCTTATAGAGTTATTAGAAGATGCGCAAGAAAATGGTCTAGAATTTAATTTCTGTTATGAAATAATTATCGATGATCATAGCTCAACTAAGGAAATTGCAAATAATGTTGTTGGATGAATCGAAGATATTGATAAGTACAATTGGGTATACAATCACCATTATACGGGTAAAAATTTAATTACATATTGGTACATCTGCTCTCAACGAGATGTTTTAGTCAAAAAGCCATGTAAACATATTGATCCGTCAAAATGGAGAGATGCTAAATCTATGCAAAGATTCGATTGTGGTGGTTTTATAAAAGTCTCAATAAATAAAGCTACACAAATGGCCGAAGTAACTCTTTATCATAAAGACTTGCATAGTAAACCTGTTGATGTATCTATACAACAAGACATTAAAGATTTCATAATAAATAATATTGAATTACTTCCAAGAGAAATCTATTCACGCCTTGTTAGTAATGGTTTAGATATATATCTGTTAAACAAAAACAGATTCATTATTGGTGGTCTCAGTTAGGACAAAATCGATACAAACGTCATAGTAATGCTTTTGAGTCTGCATATATTTGGTTGCTAGAAACCAATATAAGATTATATTGCATGAAATAGAGCCAGCTCGTGTATTGGCATTTGATACTGGAATGCTTGAGCAAATAAATAAATGTCGCAGCTGATGCTGAAAACGGCTGATGCTGAAATTCGGATCTATTTTGATATGAATTTTTAAAAATT